CAAGCATTCCAGGTAAAGGGCTATCAAAGTTCAAAATCCCTGGATAGTCTCTCATGCTTTGCTTTAAATTACACCCAGAGTGACCACAGAGATGGAGGAATTTCCCATGCACTTTCTAAAGGGAAATTAAAAACTAAAATAATCAAAGCCATAAAAAAAATTGACACCCAATTATATATTTCCTCTTCAAAGTAATACAGTGTAGTTTTGTTGCTCACATTGAGGTTTTTTTTTTTGTAGTCAACAGATAAAAATATCATAGTCTGTTGGGTGATGGTGTGACTTTCGAGAAGGTGTTTATTTTATCCTAACAATAAAGCCTCACTGTGATATTTTTGCTAGGAGTTTGGGTGACACCTCGACATGTTATCATCAATTCTACAACAGTGGAATTATATTGGAGTCCGCCAGAAAAGCCCAATGGCCTCATTTCTCAATATCAATTGAGTCGTAATGGAACGTTGCTTTTCCTGGGTGGCAGTGAAGAGCGGAATTTCACTGATAGAAATCTGGAGCCCAACAGCAGGTAAACTAAAAAAGAAGAAAAAAAAAGTTTTACCAGTCAGATGGTAAGATTTTTAGATTTCTCAGGGTTGAAAAAGAATACGTATCTCTCCAAATTGTTATTAAAATTTTAAGTCAATCCCCTCATTTTTTTGATATTTCTTAACTGATGAAAGTGCTAAGTCATTAAGTTGGTCTTCAGATTACATGAAATTCCTTAAAAAGATAGTCTTCTATTTGACATGAAATCATGAAAATTCAAATATACAAAATATGCAAAGTATTAGACTTTAAAAATTACCAAATTATCTTCAAAAACATGCATTCCTAAGCTAGCAATAAAAGAGATTTAAAGAGTTTTGTTTTACTTCAACTGCCTTTTCTTGTATATGTTTTCTCTACTTGCTATACTATATATAGACACAAGTAGTTTGGGGGGAAAGTTCCACATATTTGCAATTCATTCCCATTTATTTCTCAGCAGAGACAAAATATATCTTACATCAACAGATGTTTTATTGTAGAAAGTAGAGATCAATTTAGTTTTATTGTAGAGAATAGCAGATCAATTTAAAAACATCTTCCTCTAAACATATTTCCCTGAACTCCAACCCATTTAAAAATAGGAAGGATTAATTTGAATCCTCCTCAATCCACTAGCACACTTCAAGACTTTCCTGAAATCTTCAAGAAAAGCCATGAAAATTACTAGAAGGTTAAAAATAAAGCTGGGAGAGGCAGAAATAGTGATGATCTGGAGAGAATCCTGCCTGTGCTAGAAAAACTACCAAATCTATGGTAAGGTCTCTGGAAAGGGAGCAACGAATTTGCACTTTGTCACATATTTAGGACTAAGCAATGGACAGGAAAGCCAGCATTCACTGTTCGAGTGTCTTGTGCATCCCCCTATCACAATTCTTCTTTCTTTTTAAATATAGATATGTTTACAAGTTAGAAGCCAAAAGCGGAGGAGGCAGCACTACTAGTGATGATTACATCATCCAAACACCAATATCCACACCTGAAGAAATCCATCCTCCGTATAATATCACAGTAATTGGGCCTTATTCCATATTTGTAGCTTGGACACCACCAGGTAAAGAAATAAAATGTGTGCGTGTGCGTGTAAAACATTTTAAAGACAATTCATTGGAGAGAAGGATAGAAGTGTGAAGTTAGTAAACCAGAAAGACTAGTCTTATCTCCTGGGTAGATATGAAAAGAATTATCCAGACTACTCTTGAGTATATAATTGCATGAATGTGTGTAGATATATATACACGTACATACATATAGAACAGTATAGATCTATCAAAACAATACTTTCTTTAAAGTACCAGAGCCTAAAAAATCTGTCTTCTTACCCAAATATATCCAAGACAAGTCATATAGATCGGAATTACTTTGAACATTAACTTCTGCAGGACCCCTTAGATTGGGTCGTTGGCGTTGTATTGTTCCCTGTGTGTTCCATCACTGAATGGGGAATGGGGAAAGACAATAGCTCCCTTTGCCCGTGTACCCTGGGTTGTGACTGGTGTGGGTGCTGAATTTTGCCTCTCTAAGCTGTGTAGACTCCACTGAGCCATTTAGTCATACTGGGTTGCTTTTGAGATTGAGTGCATTATTATATTTTGATGTAAGCATCATCATCAGGTAAAAATCAAGATTGCATTAACACTGTGGAGTAAAGATTAGAATGAAATCTGCTTTCTCTATCTTTTTACATAAAGGACATATACATGGCTNATTAACTTCTGCAGGACCCCTTAGATTGGATCGTTGGCGTTGTATTGTTCCCTGTGTGTTCCATCACTGAATGGGGAATGTGGAAAGACAATAGCTCCCTTTGCCCGTGTACCCTGGGTTGTGACTGGTGTGGGTGCTGAATTTTGCCTCTCTAAGCTGTGTAGACTCCACTGAGCCATTTAGTCATACTGGGTTGCTTTTGAGATTGAGTGCATTATTATATTTTGATGTAAGCATCATCATCAGGTAAAAATCAAGATTGCATTAACACTGTGGAGTAAAGATTAGAATGAAATCTGCTTTCTCTATCTTTTTACATAAAGGACATATACATGGCTTTTTTTCCCCCCAAAATAAAATTTAAAACTGACTAAGATGGTAAATGCACTTCAAAAATATATGATTTTATTTTTAATATCTAGTCTTAAGATGAAATTGAAACAAGGGTTTGGATTCCTGTACCAGTTTTCCTCGGAAAAAAAAAAAGAAATTGAACAAGTTGTCTTGATCAGAATAAGTTTAGCTACTGTTTAACATGGCCCTGAAAATAATTTAATAGGCATTTTGTCCACAGCAGATCCATTCTATAAAATAATTAGCAGCAGGGCCGGCCCGGTGGCGCACTGGATAGTGCGCCGCTTGGGAAGCGCGGTGGCGCTCCCGCCCGAGGGTTCGGATCCCACATACAGACCGGTTCCCGCTCACTGGCTGAGCGAGGCGTGGGAGCAGCGCCGAGGGTTGCGATCCCGTTGCCGGTCCCCGGTCTGGTGCGGGGGCAACACTGAGGGTTGCGATTCGTCGCCGGACACGGAAAAAGACAAAAAGACAAAAAAAAATAAAATAAAATAAAATAATTAGCAGCAAAGTATTTTTCATTGAATTCAACAGTTATCTCAGTCAAAACAGGTAATATAGTCATAAAGATAATATGAAGAACTAATATATAAAACTTAAGTTCTTATAAACCAACATCCTTCTGATGTCATAATGTAAGATCAAAGAGAAAAGGGTCTTTTTGCTCAAATTCACGGGAGAAAATTTACCAAGAGCTTTACAAGCACAGAAAAATTTGAGTTGCACTAAGATAAAAATGTAAATAATTCCATCCATCTTTGTTATAAGATAAATACACATTTTAAATTAAACAAAACATAAAGGAATAATTGATAGCAGCAGCATATATCATAAAATGCTGCAATCCTTGTTTGAGTTTTAGGAGCATTTTCCTGAACTCTGTTCTTAACTTTGGTGGAGATAGAGACACATCGTCTGCCATGGGAAACATACAAACTTACAGCCCCCTTTATGACATTGACTTCTACTTACATGCAATAGCATTGCTATCTTGCTATCTTTTAGCATAGTTCTCCTTAGCATTTTTATAGTGTTGTAGTGTTTTTGTACCACAGCGTAAAAGAAGGCTGGATTCAGCTCATCTTAGACCAGATCCAGCCTATTGACCAGGTATTTCTCAGATTCAAGCCAGGGTCTTCTACAATCCAAATTCTCAAAGAACAATCAGGGAAAGTCCAGGATGTTAAGTAAAGTTGACGTTTCTTAGCCATGAGACCAGGAAGTTCCTCCGTTTATCGTATTATCTATATTTTAATGTTATTACACGTATAAATTGACTTTGCTCTGCTCTGCAACATCTTTGAATGTAAAAAAAAAAATTAATTTTAAAAATAAGAATTTTAGAAATGACTCTCTCTCCTCTTCCACCTAACTAAGATCTTCTTGCATCTGGAATCTGGTTTTGCTAAGTCATGTCTATTCCTTCTGGATTTTTGGATGAGTAGGTAAAGCTTTCTGGTTACTAGTTCCTTCATGCTACAGGAGATAATTGTTGTTGGGTGGATATTTTCCCTTCAGGGGCTTGCCATTTTCCACAATTAATTCTTCTAGTCTTGACATGCCCAGCAAAATCTCATTTTCCCAGAATCATTTGAATCATCAACACCCAGCTCTGTTTTTTGACCCTCTGGGCTACTACCGTATTTCAAAAAGCATAGTTGATCCACCATAAATCTGACAGACCTTGGGCAATAAATGAAAAGTTTGATTTGGATTTAGAAGTTAAGCCAAAGACAGGAAGGATTGCTCTTAAAAGGCAGTAGTAGTGAGCAGACCTGGATTTGAATCCCGGCTCTGCTCTGTGACCCTAAGTATATTATGTTATTTCTTTGAGATTTAAAATTTCTCACCTTAATGTGGGAATAATGATATCACCTGTTGTCTATGGTTTGCATAAGAATTAACTGAAGTAAGGCACAGAATGTGCTTATTAAAGTGTTTGGCACATAGCAGGAATCTAGCAAATGGCAAATATAACAAGTAATACAAATGTATGTGTGAGAGAATGCTATCTCAGTATCACGTTTATTTTTCCCCTGAATATTCTCACATATTCCCTAGACCTCATCTTTTTTACTAGTAGGATGTATAAACATGTACTAAGACTTAGTTTATTGATAGCATTGGAACAATGATTCAAAAACTGAAAATCCAATTAATTGCCTAATTAATTTTTCTGTTGCCAAGCAGCTACATAGGATTTTTTCTATCAGCAACTTACCTGTCTAAGGTTACTCTATTTATATTGATCACAAAATAAAATGCATGTGAAAAAATGCATGTTAATTTAACCACTATTTTAGCTTTGGACATTAACGAAAGACTCGTTTGCTTCATGTTTTCAGAGAATTATTGTAATTGACCACTTTTGCTTGGAGTGTATGATGCATGGTTACTAAACTTGGTAGCACATGAAAGTCATCTGGAGAGTTT